CCTCGCGCGGCTACAGGGCGCCAGCGGCTGCCTCCGAGCCGCTGCATCCAGCGGAGGAGGAGGAGGAGGAGGAGGAGGAGGAGGAGGAGGAGGAGGAGGAGGAGGAGGAGGGGGGGAGGAGGAGGAGGAGGGGTGAGGAGGTGGGAGGAGGGGGAGGGAGGAGGAGGAGGGGGAGGAGGAGGAGGAGGAGGAGGAGGACGGAGGAGGAGGAGGAGGAGGGGAGGAGGAGGAGGAGGAGTTGCAGGGGAGGAGGAGGAGGAGGAGGAGGAGGAGGAGGAGGAGGAGGAGGACTTTAAACGGAGAGGGTCAAAGGCGAGATGTATATCGAGCATGCACCGCTGCCGTGCCTGGCTCAAGCCGGGCCCGGCCAAACATGTGATTGTGCCTCATTGAGGCGCACTACTTGCATCTGAGATCGGAAAAGACCTTTCTATTGACGATGCCCCTTCTATCCTTTACTCCAGATCCCATGCTTCATCTTGCTCTCTTGCTCATGCGATATGAGACAAAGCCTGGGATATGGGAGCGCCTAAGGCGGAACATATATCTTGGCTTACCAGTGCGTTTTCGACTTGGTAGCGGAGCTGGCTACACTCTCGTGTGGCTGGCTCTCGCTCTAATACCCATAATCCACGGCACAACTTGGTGGACTACTACTACGGTGGAATACCATGTTGCGCCGGCTCTGCGAGGAGCGGAGCCAGTCCGCGATCGAGCTAGCGGGGCGACCCGCGAGCTCGAGACGCTCTCTCCTACTTCACTGCGCTACTTCACTCCCGACTTCCACCAGATGCCAATCGGCAACTCGATCGAGAACGTGGTCACTCTGCGGGGCTACCCGCAGCGGGGCCACCTGCATCCCGTGCCGGTCAGGCGCCTTACGGCTACTACGCCCGAGCCTGACAAACCACAGCCTAAACCAATCACCGAAGCCGAGATGCACATGCACTGGATTAAGATAACTATCTTCGGCATTCTATGGGTGATAATGGGATGTGCTGTGGGCTACATGCGGCAGGGGATGGACGACACGCGTACTACCGGCCCTTCTTGGGACCCAGCCGGTACTACGCCCTTTCGCGAGTACGTTCGCGAAGTACATGCATGGATAAACGTGACGAGCGGCAATATGACGCCACCTCAGCAAGCTGCAGCACTACAACGTGGCCTTCAAGGCCTTGCTCGTCGTATCGCCATGCAGGTCCCCTCCCAGATCATCAATTATGGTGTAACTGTCAACGGACAGCCAACGGATGCAGTCACTTACATACTGTACCTACTGAGCACCAAATTTGAAAATCTGGAAGATGAGCGCCAGCTCAACTCTGGCACTGCCCTTATCGACTTTCGCGTCGAAAGGGGCGAGCGAATCGACTCAGTGTTAGCTCGATTCGAGATGGCCCGTGACGAGGCTAACTCTGTTGGATTTGTCATCCCCAACTTTCAGATCCTAACGCTGATCCTTTTCAGAGCGTTAGGCGTTGGCGCGTCACGAGCCCAACACCTGCTGGAGCCCTTTAATCATCAGATGCCCAGAACGCAAGCAGACTATGATAGGCTGCTGACCAGGATGAGGAACTACGGGCATGTTGCCGAGCGCTCTCCTGGCAACATTGCGGGTATCTTCACAGGGCACCACGCACGCGCAGGTGTCTACGCCACGACTGCGGGGTCACCCGCTGGTCCTGGCGAACCAAGTCCCTGGGCTGATCCAGCCGATATGCCCAACGAGGCCACTGCCTTCTTAGGGCAGACCGGCCAGGCATCGGCAGAGGCAGCGGAGGCGAACGCCTGGTCGAACTACACGCCGGGCGCCGCCTACACTGCAAGCCCGCCCTCGGGCACAACCCTCTGGGGCCAAGCGGAGTCATCCGCTCAAGGGTCTCAGCCACCCTCTCCGCTTGAATCTGGCACTGACACAGATACCTCATCTGACGGTGATCACAATGGTATAGTCTCTGCTGGTAATGACTATCCAGCTGATGACACTCACCTTTCTGAACAACAAAGAGCGGAAGCCGCTTTTATGGCTTATCGCAAATCAAAACGCCGTTGGAGGCGCTTTATGAAGAAACCGGTCAGAAAAGTGAGACGTGCAGCACGCCGACATTTCAAACGTTATGGAAAGGGTCGTGGCAAAGGGGGTCGCAGACGCCGTATGCATGGTAGGGGTATTACTGCTTTCCTCACGTCCTTAACTGATATAGTTTTTGAAGAAGTTCTTATCGGAGGCAAAGGTCGGGGTCACAGGCGGACCTCTGGTAAGGGAAAAGGGCGGAGGGGCAACCCTAGGGACGCTTCTGGCAACACTATGAAGTGTCATACATGCGGTAGCACAGAGCATTTGCGCGATCATTGCCCGAAGGGGAAAGGAAAGGGATCCGTACATTTGGCTCAAAACTCTTTTATGGATGACATAGACTATATTGACTACGAGTTTTACGTCAATCCAGAAGCGGCTCCCGCCGCGGGCTCCTCCACGTACTACGTGATGGCCCGCTACGCTGATGTGACCGTAGCCCTGGAAGAGTACGCGGCGACCCTCTTCGACGAGTTCCACGGCTGGGACGAAGTCGACGAGGTCGCGTTCAATGCCTGGTTCGGTCTTCCAGCGGGGCCACCCGCCGACGACGAGATCTCCGAAGCGAGACCGTCCCGGCGACCGAGCAGGAGCTCGCCGCCGCGCTGGCACCGCAGGTGATTGGTACGCCGTTGCTGCCTGATCTTTCGCGAGCCGGCTCGGAAGCGGGAGACGCTGATGATGAAATGCGGGGCCATCCCGCAGCCTATTCTGACTCTGAAGAGGCCGAAGAGGACTATAAGGACAGGCTCCAAGAGCAGGTCGCAGAAGCGATCCAGCTCCTGAGTGCGCCAGCATATCAGCAGATAACCATGAACGACCTGCTGTCGCGCCCAGGGGCCGCAAGGTTGCGTCCATACCTGGATCATGATATGTCGGCACCTCAGATGCTGACTGCACTCCAGGCTCTAGCGGGGTCACCCGCCGAAGCGGCGCCAGCTGCAGCAGCGGGGCCACCCGCTTGGTCTATGGACGTATTCATGCAGGGCTGCGACCAGATGGACCTCAATGACCTCACGATGGAGCAGCTGACCGACATCGGGTACTTTCAAAGCCCGCATCAGCACGTATTCATGGTCCAGGACAGCTCAGAGGACTCGGATGACAGGCGCCATGCAAAGAAGAACAGACGACCATCGCCACCCCGAGACCCAGAGCACCGTCATGAAGATGAAAGGCCCATGGAACGCGGCAGTGCGTCAGCGGGGCCAACCCGCAGGAGGAGCCGTTCAGCTCCACGACGCCCTACACATGATGCATCTGGCTACCCGTACAGCACGGAGCACTCCGTAGGTGTATCCGCTCAGTACGTGCCGGAGTGGTACATCAATTGGTACCCCGGCTACTCGATGGACGTGATCCGCCAATGGTGGTCCAAGGGGCACTGCAAACGGGACGAATCTGGCATGATAATACGTACCAAAGGTGGCAAGACTAAAACGCCAGAGGCTTGGGACCGAAGGGCTAAGAAACAGGGGATCATCAACGATCGCAAGACATACAGGAAACAAGTATGTCAATGCGAGCCTTTCAAAGGTCACATGCGCGGCTGTCCAATGGACCGCCCCTCCAGGAGCCCTCATTACGGTGAGACCCCCTGGAACTGGTCTCATGGAGATGACGCCGGCACCGTCCACGATCCTAACAAGAAGGTCCCTGGAGGAGGAAAGCGCATCACTGAAGCCGATCGCGTCCCTATGACCGAGGAGGTCGCTGACACTGTCAGGGAAAATTGGGAACAGCTTCCCAAAGACCATCGCCTCAAAGAATGGAACCGCCGATTCCATAAAGAGGCGGGGTCACCCGCAGAATCCAGCGGAGAAGCGGGGTCACCCGCAGACGCGGCGCCAGCCGCTGGGTCCGCGGACGAAGAGTGGATGGCTGTTGCATCTGCTGCCGGATCCGCCGCCGGTACTGACCAGACCGAACTGAATGAAGAATGGGCGGCGGAAGACGGCTCAGAGAATCCATTCCCTGATGGGTGCGCCTGCTGGTACTACAGCTCCTCGGCACAGAAGTGGTTTTGCACGAGGGTACTTTACCGCCACGAAAATGGCAAATACAAGCTGGCCATAAAAGGTACTGCCAACATCGACCAGATGAGGCAGATCATCCATGATCACGGCCAGCCAGAAGGCCCTCCTAAAGACCCTCCTGGCCCACAACCAGACGAGGGCAACAAACCACCTCCAGGACCTGAAGCCGACTCCTCGTCTCCACCTTCTCCTGCGAAGAGGTACCCTTCCAAGAGCCCCGAAGGTACACAGGGGCGTGCGAAGGCCAGAGGGATCGCCAAGAAGGACGACCCTGAGCAGGGAGAGCCTACCGGCCCGTCCGTGACGGAGAGGAGGAAGGCTTTTGCTGGACCATCAACCCCGATGCCACCGGCTGCCCAAGGCGATGTCAAGGACGAAGTTCGCGACCAGCCTAAGGCAGCCTTCCGAGGTGACTGGACTCCAACTCTGCATCAGCCGCGCCTTGCACCACGACCAGGCTCGGCACGAATGAAAGCGCAACCGAAGCCCGAGGCTGGGATGAGGTCGGTGCGGGCAGAAGCAGTCGCCAAAGGTAAGGGGGACAAGGGCTCTGCGGGGCCACCCGCTAAAGCGGCGCCAGCTGCAGCAGCGGGGACACCCGCAGAAGGCACTCTCTCAAGGGAAGAACGCTTCAGAGCCCTCAAAGAATTTGACGACCGACAGAAACTAGCCGACGACGCGCGGGCTGACCAAGGTCACCCGCACCCTGGCGCGGGGTCATCCGCTGGAGCTGCCTCGGCAGCCGCAGGCTCTGCGGGGCCACCCGCTAAAGCGGCGCCAGCTGCAGCAGCGGGGCCACCCGCACGTCGGCAACCAGCGTCGTCTGTTCCCACGAACATCCCTCTGGGAGCCATTGAATATTTGCAAGGCATTGAAGACGAAGG